TCCCGGTCTTTGCACCCCCAGCGCTACCACAGGCCTAGAAGTTGGTGCTCAATGGATGACAAATTGTCAACGTCTGCATTTCAAGAGAAGAAATCTGCTACATGAATTGAAGTAAAGGTTTCTTCAGAACTGTAAGCCTGCTCGCGTCCCAGTGCCCTGGCACAATTTTTTTTTTTTTTTTTTGACAGGCAGAGTGGACAGTGAGAGAGAGAGTCAGAGAGAAAGGTCTTCCTTTACCGTTGGTTCACCCTCCAATGGCCGCTGTGGCCAGCGCACAGCGCTGATCCGAAGCCCAGAGCCAGGTGCTTCCCCTGGTCTCCCATGCGGGTGCAGGGCCCAAGGACTTGGGCCATCATCCACTGCACTCCCGGGCCACAGCAGAGAGCTGGCCTGGAAGAGGGGCAACCGGGACAGAATCCAGCGCCCCGACCGGGACTAGAACCCGGTGTGCCGGTGCCGCAAAGCGGAGGATTAGCCTAGTGAGCCGCGGCACCGGCCATAATTTTGTTTTACAAAGGCGCAGCTCTGCTGCTGCAAATATGCTGTGTCTGTGAGGTCATTTATTGCATCTGAAGGTGGACTCCTTGTCCCCCAGGCCTGCTCCAGTCTATCTGTGTTCACCAGTGATTCAGGGCTGATCAGACTCCTCCCCTGCTGCACTGTGTGACCTCGGAGGCTCCTTAGCCCAATGCTGTCTCAGCTTTCTCCTAGGATTGGGAATAATTACCTTGTAATGTGTTGTTTTTTTTTTTTTCTAGACAGAGATCTTAAGATTCCCAGCTGAAATTGTTTCTGATTTAGATGCTGCAATTACTGGTGCTACAGAATCAATGACAGAATCAGAATTGATGAATACGCAAGATTCTATTATTTAAAATGCTTCTTCTGAATTTTCCTTAATGCTCATGAAATGTATCATAAAGGCAGATTTCTGTTTTTATTTTTATTGTTGCTAAATAAATACTTGAGCTAAGCATTTCCAACTTTATCATAATAAAGTAGAAAGAATTTTTAGTAGAACAGCTATAGATTCTTTTTTATAAAAATAGATTTATTTATTTATTTGAAAGGCAGAGTTACAGAGAGAAAGAGAGAGAGGTCTTCCATCCACTGGTTCAATCCCCAAATGGCTGCAATGGCCCGAGCTGGGCTGATTCGAAGCCAGGAGCCAGGAGCTTTTTCCAGGTCTCCTACAGGGGAGACTTGGGCCATCTTCTACTGCTTTCCCAGGCACATTCGGAGGGAGCTGGATCAGAAGTGAAGCAGCCAAGACTTGATAGGGGATGCCAGCACTGCAGGCAGCGGTTTTACCTGCACGGCCACAGCGCCGGCCTGCAGATACAGATTCTAATACCTAACACAACGCTGCTTACAAGCTCTGTGACCCAATGTTTCTGAGGCTCAGATTCCTTTGTCTCTGCGAAAATAATACATTTACGTGGGGGAAAGGGTTACATCGTATATCCGATCCTCACAAAAGTCAGTTATGGAGCAAGCGTTCAGCCCAGCGGGTGGGATGCCCGAGTCTCTCAGCACAGTGCTCTGGCTCCTGACTCCAGCTTCCTGGTAACCCAGGTGCAGACCCTGGGAGGCAGTGGTGATGGAGTAAGAAATGGGGTTCCTGCCACCCGCGTGGGACAGCTACATTGCATTTCCAGCTCCCAAATTCAGCCCAGCCCAGCCCCGGCTGTTGTGGGCATCTGGGGAACGAACAAGTAGGTAGGAGTTCTCTCTCTGTATCTGTCTCTCTGCCTCTCAGTAATACTTTTAAAGGTTAGTTATGTGACTGCTTTCTTAACAATGTACCTCTAACAGACTGAACGTCCTAAGTTTTGAAATAATGCACATCATTAAGACATTGATAGCTTCATAGTGGATAGTGAAATAAAACTAAGACATGTCCTTATATAAAAACATAAAATATTAGCCTGTTCAAATGAAGATATTTCAGATATTTCTCTGGTTGTGAAAATAAAGATTTTTGTGTGAAAATAAACATTTAAAATACAATGTTAGAAGCAAGTATGATGGATTTCCTTAGTTGTCATGAACTGGCAAAGGGATGAGGGTAGCAGGGGATGTGTTTACGCTGTGCACTGCTGTGTGTCTAGCTGTCAGAAGAGTGGCCATAGCAGGTGCTCAATAAATGCTTCTAGAATGAACACACGGAGAGTGTAGGACTTTGTAAGCAGACTTGGGTGGAATCACGACTCTGTATTGAAATCATGGTGTCTATCTCTAAAAGCGGCTACAAGGACTGAATGAGGTGTGAACTGTATCTGGCACATGTGTTAAGATAGGTTTACCGTAGTGTTGTTTAGACTTTTGCTACGTTCGTATGACATGTTGGGATTAAATGAAAACAAATAATACTCCGAGCGACAGGACTAATAAACTGCCACATGTCTGCTGCTTCGGAGAGAGAGAGAGAGAGAGAGAGAGAGAGCGCCGCAGCAGAATCCTACTCAATAAATCTCTGGCTGCCATTCTGGCTGAGCGGCCACACTGGTCAGGAAAAGCCATTCCTGCTTCAAGGCTTTTTAAAGAAAGCTGCATTACTTGTTCAATTCTCCTGCACGTGGCTTTCGGTTGCCTTTTCAGCCAGTGACCCTGGGTTTTGACTAATGAACTCCAGCTGTTCTTATTTTGCCTTCCAGCCCTTCTCATTTAACCTCCTGTCTCCCTAGCCTCACAACCTTAGAGCTCTTACAGGAAAAAATGGGACAGAGCCAAAGTTTGCAAAGGAGGCCTCATATCTTCTTGAGGGGAGAGGGCTCCAAGCTTTTACCCTGGTGGAAAAAGAAACATTCGTTGTTGGAAATTGGATGCCTAACAACCTTCAATGTGTCAAAAATCCTTTTGTGGTTTTTAATATTATGCAAGCAAAGCATTCAGTAAGGTAAGTCCACAAAGCAAACCCAGAGAGGCCACAGTCGAATACTAATGTAATTGTAAACACCTGTGTGGGGAGGCAACTCCTGGGTAAATATGCAGTGAAGGGAACAGAGAGCGAGCGTGCAGAACAATGCAGCCCTGGCTTTCCCGAGCCATGCTGGGAGCCATCTGTCAGAGGAACCTTTTGCCTATTTTGCAAAACTGGCAAAAGGCTTTGCTGTTACAGCCAAATGTCAACCCCCCAAACTTGGTTGTGGGCAAAATCTGAGCAAGGCTGGCCTCACCCAATAGGCAAACTCCAGTTCATAAAGGCAACACCAGGAAAGTGAGGCGAAGCTGGACCTACAGACCCTTCCCTTATGTGGGTGACCTGGGATTTTCTATTATGTCCAGAAATACACTCTAACTTGTCCACACATCTCTTTCCAAATCGGATCATCCTTTCGTGGGGACCACTAATAAGTACATTAGTAAATGGAGCTTCCATTCTGTTAAACACTTAAAACCATGCCTTCCCCCGGAATGCACCTGATCCTACCAGGATGACTCCGCAGCTGCACTGATAGCCACTTGGTCCTTCTATTTGAATTCAAAATGACGTAGTTCCCAGGGGCTTTGAGAGACTTTTGAAAATGGCATCAAATTCAGTTATAAACTCATTTTCTGAATTGCTTTTTCAATGCCTGTTTGCTTAACCCATACTTCCAAGCTCAGTTCAAAATCTACTGACTCCATCAGCCAGACTGAGACAACCCATTCTCATCTGGGTTTGCAACGTCTTTTGTGTACTAGTAACTTGAATCATCTTCTCTGCTAAGACTGGAAACAGCATAAACAAAGATTGGATTTTCTCTCCTTACCCTTAACAGCACTCAGGAATTTGCTTGGCATATAATACGTGTTCAATAAAGAAGGAAAAATAAGTACATGGTGAAAAGAGGGAGAAAAGGTCAGGGAAATATCATTTTCTTCCCTGAAATAGGTGATAATTTTCTCATCATTTTATTCCAAATGGCATATGTAAAAAGGTTGATAAATTTAATTTTTAAAAATTCATATGTATTTCATTTATTTGAAAGTGAGGGACGAAAGAGAGAGAGAAAGATTGAGATCTTCCATCTGCTGGTTCACTGCCCAAATGACCCCTAACAGTGAGGGCTGGACCAGGTTGAAGCCACGAATCAGGAACTCCAGCCAGGTCTGCCAGGAGAGACCCGAGTGCTGGCACCATCGTCTGCCTCCTCCCAGGGTGTGCGTTACTGGAAAACTGGAATCAAACGCAGCACTGAGATTCAAACGGGCTGCGGTATTCCGGGCAGCATCTTAACTGCTAAGGCACGTGCTTACCCCAATTGTAGTTTTAGTGGCTTATTTTTGCTATATTGGCTTCTTGATTTTCATAATATTAATAGAATATTATAAATTATTAGAGATCTTAATGGTGAACGACATCACCAAGGGGAGAAAGAATGGAATAATAGCTAACATTGATTGAGCCTGAAAATGGGCTGTGTGATAAGTGCTTTATATACGTAGTCTCAATCCTCATAATAGCTCCGTGAAGTAGACACTATTGTCTTCCTCTTCCTGCAATGATAGGTAAAGCGCCCAACATCACACGGGAGTCGATGGTGGACCTGCGATGCAAACCAAGGTCCATCTGACCCAGGTTCCTCAGCCACCTGCTATTCTCTGGGCACAGAGAAGACAGGGCAGGGAGCTGCCAACTGAGGAGCCTTCTGCGCACTATGGAAACATCATGCCACCTCCAGGCAAACTGCCCTCTAAGAATTCATGGAATTATTTTTTGTCCTCTTTTATAGCAATTTTCTGGGTTAAAAAGATATAGCCTTAGCACTAAACACATGGAAAGCATTTAGTAAATACTCACTGAGTTCATACTTTGGGTTAAATGATATAACAGTTTTCAACTGGAATTTCCTTATGAATAAATACTAAGATTATAATGTAAGTACTCTTGGGAAACCGGTCTGAGCAATAAAATTGCAATTATTCACTTCCTTGTAGAGCTATCAAAAACTAGACGCTGAGTGCATGGGCGCAATGCACAACCCATCTCGCGAGTCCGTTTCTGCTGCTCTTACCTTCCCGGATGGCGGTGAATGGGACTCCTTCCTCTGTGTTCATGCTGATGACTTTCAAAGCCACCAGCTGTCCATTTATCCTAGAAAACAGGGAGGCGCTCACACACTTTTTGAGATGGTTGAAGCGGGGATTTATAGCAAAAGGCATTTTCCTTCAAAATACATTCCAGCATAGGAATATATATTTATATTCCAGAGTGTTTTTCTCTTTTCCTAAAGTGGTGTGCTCATTACGGAAAACTTGGAGAACACAGAGAAGCACAGAGTGACCCCTCTCCAAATCCACGCCATATCTTCAGGCGCATTGTGCCTTTTATTTCCCTTTGTGCCCTTATTTGACACATCCTTATCTTGCATCTGACTTATCGTAATGGTCTCTCAATAGTCGCCCTGTTTGTACACTTGTACTCCTGCTATATACTTCCAACGGAGAAGTTAGGGCACCCTTTTAATATACATATGTGTGTGTATATATATATATATATATAAATTTGTATATATATGGAGAGAGAGGTGGAGAGACAGAGAGACAAGTGGAGAGAAAGCTCCCATCTGCTGGTTCACTCTCTAAAAGCCTGCAATGGCCAGGGCTAGGTCCAGGATGCAGGAGGGAGCTGGGAACAGGAACTCAATGCAGGTCTCCCATGAGGGTGGCAGCAGCCCAGCCACTTGGGCCCTCACCTTTGCTGCTCAGGGTGTGTGTTAGCAGGAAGCTGGAGTTGGGAGGTAGAGCCATGTATTGAACGCAAGCATCTTAACCCATAGGCCAAATGCCAGTCCCGGGGCCCCCTTTTAAATGAAAGTAATAGCAACCCAATTTTCTGTTCAAAACGTACCTCTACCTCTCACTCAGAAAAAAAGTCAGATTCTTACACTGGCCTCATGGGTGCTACCTGACCGGTACAGAGCACCCTCTCTCTCTAACTCCTACCCTCTCCTTATTTATCAGTTTGCTTGTGATGTAAGCTAAGTGCCAAAAACAGAGGAGATTTTAATGCAAGTCCAAATCTGTCTTCAGTGCCATGGGATTCCTATCACATTGTTAGTGATGTGCTCTTCCTCCTATCATTCTTATACAGTGTGCTACTTAATAATGACGTAATAGCTCATTATGTAAATATCCTACAATGTGTTAGGTCATTCCAAATTGCGTCCAGCTTTGAACTTTTATACAGATATGTTGATGATCATAAATAAATGTGATAAGTCTTTGCACACAGCCCCAACTATTTCCTCAGAGTCAAGGTAAAATTGCTCAAAGAATGTGCAGTGCACACACTTTCATTGATTTAAATTCACCCCTGTGGAGTGACTGTACCCCTAAGCGGCCATGAGCGTGGCCAGGCCATCCTTCCTCCCCAACGCTGGGCAGGGATTTGTTTGCATTTCCTTAGATCACATCTTTTAGATCAGTTTCAGATTTACAGGAAAAAAATTGAGAAGATAGTACAGAAGTTCCCCATACCTTGCTTCCAATGTCTTCCATTGTTAATATCTTACTTCAGTAAGGTTCATTTGCTATCATTAGTGAACCAGTGCTGCACATTATTATCAACTGAAGTCCACAGTTTGTTGGGATTTCTTCAGTTTTTACCTAGCGTCCTTGTCCCCTTGTCCAGGATTCTGTTCAGCATCGCGTTTAGTTGTTGCTGTCAGGTCTCGTGGGTACCTCCTGATTGTAAACTTCCCAGATGTCCCTCATTTCCCATGACTTTGACAGTTACGAGGAGTACTGGTCAGGTCCTTGTAGCATGTCACTCTAGGAACTTTTCGCACTTTCTTGCGCTTACACAGAGACTAAGGGCACACACCACCATCACGATTTATGACCTCCGATGGGGACACGACACCTGCCCGAGGTAGGTAGTGTCTGTTGGCTTTCTGCCTGCTTTCCAGGTGCTTTTGAAGACTGTCCCCAGGGTGGCCCAGGCTCACGGGCTGGGGAGCTGTGACCTACCTCCTGGTGGTTGTACTATCTGCGTATATTATTGCGACTCTTTCTCATGGGCGGTTATTTCTTCTCTTCCATTTACTACTTTATATCAGTGTGTACTCCTGGATGTTTATTCTATTCTTCGGGTTGTAACTCAGTACTGCTTTGTTTACTTTCTCAAAGGTCTGCCCGTTGGAAGCACTTTCAGTTGGTTCCTGTGTCCCTGTGACATAGCCCATCAATCTGGCTTGCTTTTCTGTCTTCATTTTTGTCTTCATTTTTTTGGCCTATTCGATAGGTAAAAATGATTATCATGATTAAATTTCTGTTTCTTTACTTGCAGAACTGAATTTTTGTGTTTCTTGGTCTCTCATACTTCTTTTGTGAGTTGTCTACCTTGTTCTTGAAATATTTTGCAGGCACTTTTCACCAATTGCTTTTAAGCCTTATCATGCTTTGAAGTGTTGAGATTCAAATTTTTTATGATGTTAACTATTTTCCAAAGGTTTTACTCAGAGCCTGGCCCTGTGAAATTCTACTCCATCCTCTACCAAAAATAAATACATTTTTAAAAAAAGGTTTTTGATCAAATTTAAAAAATTTTAAATCCTGATAGTTTCTATAATAAAAGATCACACTGGATTTGGTTCTAATGGTCCCCATATTGCTTTGAGCATTGCGAATACTTAAATGAAACATCTCCCAAAGTGTCTTTGAATTGGGGCTCCCTGGAACACACTTGGGTAGTTGGGGTACCGTGGACACTTCCTGCCTTCCCTTCTGGTTCTGACCTCAGTGTCAGGTGTGCACAGAACTTTCTAGCTCAAAGGCTGCACAGAATACGTTTATGTTTTCTTCTAGATCTTGCCTGTTTTCTATTACATTAATTATTTATTTTAAAGATTTATTTTATTTATTTGAAAGTCAGAGTTACAGAGAGAGGTAGAGACAGAGAGAGAGGTCTTTCATCCACTGGTTCACTCCCCAGATGGCCACAATGGCCAGAGCTGTGCCGATCTGAAGCCAGGAGCCAGGAGCCTCTTCTGGGTCTCCCATGTGGGTGCAGGGGCCCAAGGACTTGGGGCATCTTCTACTGCTTTCCCAGGCCATAGCAGAGAGCTAGATTGGAAGAGGAGCAGCTGGACTAGAACCAGTGCCCATATGGGATGCCGGCACTGCAGGCCCGGGCGTTAACCCACTGTGCCACAGCGCCAGCCCCTCCATTAATTCTTGAATCCATTGGGACTTCATTCTGTATGTTTACTTTTTTAACTGTCTCACATTCATTTATTGGACTCTCTTCTTTTTGCTGCTGATGTGAAATACCACCGGGACTATACAGTAGATCTTATTAATACTTGAACTTATGACTATTCTGAATTTTAAAAAATTACGTTTCTTTGATCTTTCTTTATACTTGTGCTACACAATTTTAATTATTGTAGACTCTGAATATACAGTGTGTCCTCCGTATCCATGGGTTAAGGATTTGTGAATTCAACCAACTGTGGATCAAAAACTGAAAAAAGTTTGCATCTGTACCCAACACATACAGAAGTTTTTTCTTGTCATTATTCGCTAAGCAATAGAGTACAACAGCCGTCTTCACTGCCTTCACACTGTTAGGTACTACGAGTGACCTGGAAATGATTTGCCGTCTATGGAAATACGTCTGTAGGTTATATGCAAATACTGGGTCATTTTATGTAAAGGACTTGATTACCCATGGATCTTGGTATCTGCAGGGGGTCCTGGGACAAATCCCCCACAGATACGAAAGGACAACTGTATTTAGAATACCTCAAAACACGAAATTAGGGAATCACTGACATTTTCGCATCACAAGGTTTTCTAATCCAGATCTACACTTAATAGTTCCTGAGTAGTCATCGCACAAGATCTTCTGCCATCTGCTCACCTGTTGTACACACACCACACACACACACACCCACACACTCACACACACACACACACACCACACCATACACCATTCACACACACACCATTCACACACACACCACACAGCATGCATACACACACTACACACACTCCCATACATACCACACCCCCTCACACACCCACACACACACACACACACACCCCATACACCATGCACACACACCCCACAGACATACCCCACATACCATGCACACACACACCCACACACACCACACATACATCATGCAAACACACCACACCCTCCAAACACCCCCAAACCCCTCACACACTCCCCAACACACCCCACACACCCCACCACACCACACTACACACACCACACATACCACACACACACCACACAGCACACACACACACCACACACACACCACACAGCACACACACATGCCACACACACACTTACCACACACACACCACACACAGCACATACACCCCACATACACGCACATCTACCACACACCACACACACCACACACCCACCACACACACATACACAACACCATACACCACACACACCTACCACACACCACACACACCCACCACACACACATCATGCAAACACACCACACCCCACACACACCTACCACACACACACATACACACACCATACACCACACCCACCCACCACACACCCACCACACACACACACACACACACACACCCTCCCAGCCCTCATCTTCCACTCCCTCCCTCCACTGCCAGGGCTACTCCTGCCTCACACACTCGCTGTTCCTTCTGCCTGGAGCTGCCCGCCGCCCACGCCACGGCGCTGCGACCGTCACGCACGTGGCTCACTCCTCACTCCCATCAGAGTCTCTGTCCGGGGCTTCCCTTTTCCTCCCCCAACCCTCCTCCCTGCCTTCTGCTTTTCCACAGCACTTTTCACGCTCCACAAACTCTGTGTCACATGGACTCGTTTACTGCTGCCTCACTCCCACTAGAATGTACACTCCTTCAGAGCAGGGATGTCTGTCTCTTTTGTCCTCAGATGCATCCTTATCAGCTAAAATAGTGCCCGACACACAGTAGATAGTAGAGAAGAGAAACATTAACAGATATTAGGAGAATGAAAGAATGCCTGTCTCTTTAACGTTTTTAGGTCCCTTAGTAAATCTTTATTTAATTCTATTTTTAGTGCTAATGGTAATTTTTAAAAAAGACTGTGTGTGATGTATTTGAAAGGCAGAGGAAGAGAGAGAGGGAGAGAGTGACAGAGAGAGGGAGAGAGACAGAGAGAGAGAGAGATCTTCTATCCTGCTGCTTCACTCCCCAGATGGTTGTAACAGCGTTGCTGGGCCAGGCGGAAGCCAGGAGCCTGGAACTCTGGCTGATCTCCCACCTATGTGGCTGGGACTCAAGTACTTGGTTCATCCTCCACTGCTTGTCCAGGTACGTTAGCAGGGGGCTGGGTAGAAAGCAGAGAAGCAGGGACTTAAACGAGTACTCTGCTATGGGATGCTCGCATAGCAAGCAGAGGCACTACAGTGCTGGCCTTGGTAATGGTGATACTTTCATTGTTGTTAGAGTCATTCCCCCTGCTATATTTTCTAAATGGCTATCGCTAATACATAGGACAACTTTGGTTAGTGTACTCAAATATTGATTTTAACTGACCCTCATATTGTTCTGTCACAACTTTTAATAATTTCTTCGCCTATTCTCTTTGGATTTTTAGGTAGAATATAACTAAAGAAATGATATTCAGTCTTTTTTTCTCTCACTGCATTGGCTAGAACATTTATGGTCATTTTAGCAATAATAAATGATGGACATTCTTGCGCTATGTTTACGTTAACATTAATGCCACCAATATTTAAGAGGAAAGAATATGAGGCATTGATCTGAAATATTCTACATCATAATGGAGAATTATTCTGCTTCTATTTTGCTTAGAGCTTTAACAATAAGCAACTGATGTTGAATTTATCTTGTACCTTCTTGGCATCAGTATTTGCTTTTACATAAAAATGTGATGTCTCTGTGGTAGGGAATAAGGAGAAAGATTTCAGAGGGCTCCCTTTTCGGCTCTACTTTCAAATACTAGAGGTAACGCATCTCTGTGTATTTTCCCAGGCTCTTCCTTGCACGTACAAATTTATACATGTATAGTGTGCCCTAGTGCTTCTTTGTAAATGGGATCATAGGGTAAATATTGTTCTATAATTTGCTTTTTTGTCTTAAAACATTGGATATATTTCCATATTAATGTGAAGGTACTTCAAAAAGGTCATGGAAAATGGAATTAAAGGATAAGTTTATTCTGGTGTAAAAATTTTTGAAATCCACATCTTGTGTTTTCCTAGTTCCCCTTTTCTGTGAACTTTTGATAGACCCTCTCCTATCTCTGTTTCATGCTTTCAATGGCTTTGTACTATTTCACGATAGGTGATTATTTACTCAGGTCTTCATTAAGGGATACTTGTGAACAGGTGTTTATTGTCTATTATAAATCTTACTGCAAGGAAAATACTTCTATTTGTATCTCTGAGTACATGGATAAAAATACCGAATGCACTTCTTTTTTAAATTTTAATTTATTTGAGAGACAGAGACAGGGACAAAGATCCTCCACATGCTGGTTCACTCTTCAAATGTCTGAGAACAGCCAGGGCCAGGCCAGGAGCCCAGAACCCAACTGGAGTCTTCCAAATGGGTGCCAGGGACCCAAGTACTTGAGCTATCACCTGTTGCCTCCCAGGGTGCACATTAGCAGGAAGTTGGCATTGAAAATAGAGCCAGGACTTGAACCCAGGCACTCTGGTATGGGATCAGGGTCTCCCAAGTGGTGTCATAAGCACCGTGCTAAATACCTGGTGCTCTAATGCACTTCTCTCTCCTATTCCTCTGCTGAGTTCCTTGAAGGAAATCCTTTATGTTGCCAAGTCCTAGGATAATCTATGGAAATGAATCAAAATCTACTTCCGTGTTTAAAATTGATTTTCTCCTATGCTTCTAACAAGTAAAAACAAAATATTGAGATACGCAATACTTAGTCTTACAGCATTTATATTATAGTTTTTAAGTTACCATTTAACTACTATTGAGCCATTATTTTTTCTCTCCTGGAATAACAAAAATTCAAGAACTAAGACCTTCCAACCTTCCCACCTTAACGAAAAGGCAGTGGAATTCATGGATTTTTCATACCTATTGAACACAATTTGTTGTTTTCCAAAACAGCTATTTCACCTTTGGGCAAGTCATTGTGTCTTGCCCAAGGGTAGAAAGCTCAGGATCTATCATTCTTTGAACATACTTTATTTTGCAGAAACCAACTCTTTTGCAAAGACCAGGTGGAAGAATGAAGCAGCAAACTCAAGAAGCTACCAACGCAAACCTCTGAGGAAGGGACATGAACAACCCTTTGTGGACACCTTCCCAACTCTGCTTCCCACCAGGCTGAAGAGCGGTAATTGTTTCTTGGGTCAATAACACAGGCGTCTACTTTGTTTGAATCCAATCACGGAGAGGCAACACTGATAAACACTTCAGTGTGCTGATTTTAATTGAGGGCAGGGCCTGTTTGTTTTCCACTCCAGGTTGTTTCAATCTCTCCTTAGTGACCATGGTCTCTTGCACAAGTCCTTGAGGCTGTGAACTCCCGGGATGCCTCACCTAGCTTTATAGTGCGAAATCAGGGGACTAAGACCCAGTTCTGAGTCACTCACCTGCTAATCCCCTTGTAAACTGTAGCGTAAGAGCCTTCACCCAGCTTCTCCAAGTTCAAGTAAGACGAGGCTGCCCCAAAAGGGAGGTTCTTTCTCTGCTTTTGGGCAATTGGAGGGGTGAAGGATGGGGAAGGGGGAGAGAGAGAGAGAGAGAGAGAGAGAGAGAGAGAGAGAGAGAGCAGTTTGTTTAGCATTGACTTTTTTTTTTTCAGTCCCAGGGAAATGAGACAGCATTGCAGGAGGGTACTTGGGGCACCCGCTCAGTAATTGCCCTGGGAGTGATGGCCAGACTCCCTAGACAAGTCCACATTGAATTCCTGATCAACATCAGCTGCTCACTCACCCACTGAAAAGCCTGCCTCAGATCCTCTTCCTGAAAAGAATCACTGTTACTGCGTGGCCTTTTACTCTTGAATTTCCGGGCATGGATGGCCTGCAGTCCCCTGGGGTGAAATGAAGTCATGGAACACGAAGCTTCTTGTAGGTCTGTGAGCTAGAGAAAAAGCAAAGAGCCGGAATAACGTATATGCAAAATCAAGATGCAGAGGCTAGCAAACCATTTTTTCTTTATTTGCCTGACTTCCACTCTTCATATATTTTCTAAGCTCCCTGCACCCCTCAAAAAGCACCTTCCTTGAAAGTCAAATTCCTAAAAAAAAAAAAAAACAACACAATATCAACTGCTAAATACTGCATTCTTACTTCCCCTAAAAATATATCTTTAGCGCAGGTTAACCTAAATCTCTTTAATAGATGGTTTCCAATTTTTCTCTGTTTAACTCAGGTTTTGTTTGTTTTTTATTTCCATGTCCATTTAATTTATCGCTTTAGGGGAATGATCTTCTAAGCATGGCATTGCTAATAATCACAAGCTAATTATCAAGAGTTTGAATCCACAGCAAAACTAACCAGTACTATCGCTTGCCTTTTGGGGTTCAGCTCAGAGAATGCAAGAGAAGAACTACATTCTCAGCTTCAAGTCCAGGGAGTTTCAAGCAGCCCAAAGCCAAGGAATATTTTTCCCTTTTGGTTTACAAGCAAGTCCCCACATTTGATAACTACAACCATAAATTCTCTGTGACTTTAATAGAATCTGCCTTTTATTGGTTTAGACCCACCGCAGAAGAGTCAGACCTCGCTCCAGAAAGGGAGGGTCTGGACTTGCTTTGTCCATAGAGAAAGCTGGTCCTCTTGGGTACAAATACCTCGAGCGCGGTCTCGGTCGTCACAGCCTGATTCCGGCAGCCGGGTACCTCGCCTCGCTCGGAACAGCGGTAGCAGCTGCATCCCGGCTGCAGGGTCTTTGCACACAGCTCTTGACCCATAATCTTCTGGGTTCAAGGAGAGAGCTCGCGCTTGAACCTCTCCCCCTCCGCCTCTCCTGTCCTTGCTTGCTCCCTTTTTGCCGGAGGTCAGCAGTGTGCAGCTTTCATATGACTCACACAAGGGCTCTGCCTCGAGCAGCCTCATGACTTCAGCAGTTTTTCCTTATCAGTGCAAGAAACTCTCCATCAGAAAGGCGGCTGCTTGCCCAACTGAGAACAAGGCGGCTAAGACGGGGTGGAATAAAACCCGGCACAGTCAAGGGTCATCTTCCAGCTGTTGGTATGCAGCACTAGGAATTCACATTGTTTTCCGGGCAATGATATTTACATGATAGCATTGATAATGATAGTGGTATTTATTAGGCTCCCCTGGCACTCAAGTGGGCACACTGGGAAGTATTTTCTCCCCGCCTTTCATCTGAAAGCATTTGGGTTTCCAGATTTTAAAACAAATTTGCAACCTAGCCAATTTTAGCAGTCAATGAAACCATAGACTCACAGAAGAGAAGAAAGCTGAAGATATCCACTCCTTCTCTTTGTTTAAAGCAACAGTGCATCTAAGAGAGTGGTAGTCATTGGGTCATTCATTCAAAATGTGGGAGTGAGCACCCATGTTGCTCTTTCTATATGGAAAATGGAATTAGTGATGGCAGAGGGTGCAAAATCTTCTTCTCTCTTTCTCTCCTTTGCCTCCTGCCTCCCTTCTTTCCATGCTAATGTAATTAATGTTTACTACATGAAACATCCTATATCAATAGCATGATTCATTGAGGAATCGGACTCCAACTGGTTTGCAGTCTGTGGTTTTTGAATAAGACTTCTTTCTCTGATGGACTCCTAGATATTGCCACTATAACATACTGATCTTGAAGTGAGACAGAATGTGGGATACGCACATACACACACAATCATTTTCATTAAGAGGAAATATAAGAGTTATGTCTATTATCACAATATTTATGGATACTTGATAACTGAACCTTATGATTTTTTTAATTAAAGATTTTTATTTACTTCTTTGAGAAGCAGAGCTACAGACAGAGGGAGCGATAGGGAGAAAGGTCTTCCATCCCTTGGTTCACTCCTTACGTTGCTGTAACGGCCAGAGATGGGCTGATCCGAAGCCAGGAGCCAGGAGCTTCTTCTGGTTCCCATGTGGGTGCAAGGGCCCAAGCACTTGTGCCATCTTCTACTGCTTTCCCAGGCCACAGGCAGAGAGCTGGATCTGAAGAGGAGCAGCTGGGACACAAACCAGCACCCATATGTCCCTGGCGTCACAGGCAGAGGTTTAGCCTACTATATGCCACAGCACAGACCCCTACAATGGCTTTTTAAAACAACTTTGAGATGACTTAAATATGGATATATATTTAAATTTTATTTCAAAGTTGCTACAAGAAGAAAGACTTGAAAACAAGTCAATTCAAAGATTCTCTCAAACCAGGAACATTGACAAGGAGGCTAATGACCAGACTGTATAGGGAACTACTCAATTACAAAAACCAAATAGTCCAGATAAAAATGGGTAATAGATCTAAATAGACATTTCTCAAAGGAACACACACAAATGGCCAACAGATACATAACAAAATGCTGGACATCACTAATCATCAGGGAAATGCAAACCAAAACCATAAGGAGGTATCACTTCATTCCCGTTAGATTGGCTATTATAGACAAAGGATTATAGTGTAGGTGAGGATTGGGGAGAGAGTGAGCCCAGGTTCACTGTTCTAGCCATGGTGGAAAAGAGTATGGAGGTTCCTCCAAAAATTAAAAATAGCGCTACTGTATGCCCTAGCAATCCTGCTACATCCAAGGAAAATGAACTCAGTCTGTGGAAGAGACGTCTGCACGCCCCTGTTTACTACAACACTCTTCACAACAGCCAAGAAATGGGAACAATCTAGCTGTCCACCGACTGATGAATGCATACAGAAAATACAGTGTATATTAATATTCACAATGGAAAATTACTCAGCCATTAAAATGCATGAACTCCTGTCATTTGCAACAAAAGACGGAATTGGAGTTCGTGATGCTAAGTAAAATAAGCCAGGCACAGAAAGATAGGTTCCACATTATCGGACTCACATGTGGACTCTAGAAAAGTTGATTTCATAGACGTTGGAAATAAAGTGGTGGTTACAGGAGGCTGGGGAGAGTAGTGTTGATTGATGGATATTTAGTGAGAGTTAGGTGAATAGGTTCTGGTGTTCCATTGTACACTGGGGTAACACAGATAACAATAAAGAGCTGTATTAAAAAAAAACAACAGGGCAATTGTTGTGGCATAATCGATTAAGCTGCTGCTTGCGATGCCCACATCCAATATGGACACAGGTTTGAGTCCCAGCTGCTTCATGTCCAGTCCAGCTCCCTGCTAATGTCTTGGGAAAGCAGCAGAGGATGGCCCACGTCCTTGGGCCCCTGCACCCGCGTGGAAGACCCAGATGAAACTCCTGGCTCCTGACTTTCGTCTGGCCCATTCCTGGCCATTATGGCCGCTTGGGGAGTGAACCAGGGGTTGGAAGATTTTCTGTCTGTCTCTCCCTCTCTCTCTGTAACTATGACTTTCAAATAAATAAATAAGTAAGTCTTAAAAAAAAAAAACAACTAGAAGAAAGGATTTGGAATGCTTTTACCATAAGAGCTGATACATGTTTGAGATGATAGATATGTTTACACTGTTATATAAGGTATATTAATAAGATATAGTATAATAATGTTATATAAGGTATAGATGTATTGAGATGTCAAACGGTACCCTTAAATATGTATAATTTTTATGTGTTGGTTAAAAGAAATATGGGGTAGGTGTTGTGGTACAGCAGGTTAAGCCACGGCTTGGGACATCCACATCTTGTATTACTGTGCTGGTTTGGAAGCTACTTTGCTTCCAATCCAGCTCTCAGCTAATGTGCCTGGGAGGCAGTAGATCCAGTACCTGAGTTCCTGCCAGCCCACATGGGAGACTGGGATGGAGCTTCTGGCTTCTGGCTTCTGGCTTCAGCCCAACCCTGGCTGTTACAGCCATCTAGGAAGTAAAGCAGAGAATGGAAGCTCTCTCTGTCACTCTGCCCTTTAAGTAAATAAATAAGTCTTTTAGAAAAAATGTTAGGGACAAGAAATAGAAAAATAGATTAATTACATTCAAACAAACAGTATTTGTCCTAAATACTGTTGAGCTTTTGGCTAATGGTCACTGCTATGATTTAGATGTGGTTTGTCCCCAAGGGTTCATGAGTTGGAAGATTGGTCATCAGTGTGGCAATGTTGGAGTGGTGGAATCTTTTATTTATTTGTTTTTTATTTGAAGCAGAGAGATAATTGGTTCACTCCTTAAATGCCTACAATGGCCAGGACTGTGTCCGGTCCCCCTAGTGGGGGTCAGGGACTCAACAGTCTGAGGCAGCATCAGGAAGCTGGCATTGGGAGCCAGAGCAGGATATCAAACCCAGGCACTCTGCTGTGGGATATGAGTATCTTAACCACCAGGCCAAACAGCAACCCCCCCATGGGGGAACCTTGTAGAGGTGGGCCTGGTGGATGAGAATCAGGTCACTGGGGGCACTGCCCTTGGAAGGGATTGATACTGGTCTCAGGTCGTGAGTTAGTTGTCCTTGTGGTTAGCAAGGTGCCTACCTGGCCCCTGCCACTCTCTGGCTCCCGTCACACTATGCAATCTCTCCCTCTGGCCACATTGCCATCTGCTGTGATATAATAGCAACCAACAGGGCCCTCACCAGATGCCCCCTCAGATGGCGCTGCCTGTTCTTGGACTTCTAGCCTCTGCAAGTGTGAGCTAAATAAACTGCTGTTTACAAATGACACAGCCGCAGGTATCTTGCTATAGCAATGGAAAATGGAATAAGATAATCAACTAACCAAGAGGATGAAAAGCTAGTCGTCCGAGAATATTTAATGCCATGATACTTTATCATAACATAGATGGTAGAACAGTTTATCATAATTGCCAGTTTATTCCTAAAAGGAAATTATAAATTTTATTATGCAAATGTACCAAATGAGGTTTAGGATGATCTTTCTCTTTCTTTTTTATCATTCAAGAGGCATTGAAACAGAGAGAGAGTGACACAGACAGAGCTGTAAAAACCTGCCAGTTTGTTCTCAAAATGCCTGTAACAGCAGAGGATGGGCCAGGCCTACATCAGGAGGTGGAAACTCAGTCTGGGTCTCCTGTGAGGGTGGCAGGGACCCAAGCACAAGCTGCCTTCTAGGGTTTGCATGAACAGGAAACTAGAATTGGGAGCTGAAGCCAGGATTCAAACCCAGGCATTCTGAACACTGGAGTCCCAAGTGGTGTCTTTTTTTTTTTTTTTTTTTAAAGATTTATTTATTTGAAAGTCAGAGTTACACAGAGAAGGAGAGGCAGAGAAAAAGAGGTCTTCCATCTGTTGGTTCACTCCCCAGTTGGCTGCAATGGTCGAAGCTGTGCAGATCCAAAGCCAGGAGCCAGGAGCTTCTTCCAGATCTCCCACACAGGTACAGGGGCCCAAGGATTTGGGCCATCTTCTACTGCTTTCCCAGGCCATAGCAGAGAGCTGGATTGGAAGTGGAGCAGCCGGGACTCGAACTGGCACCCATATGGGATGCCAGCACTGCCAGTGGCAGCTTTACCCGCCACGCACAGTGCCAGCCCCACAGTGGTGTCTTAACCATGACAAGTGCCCATTCTGGGATGATTTTTCTTTAATTTACATACGTTTCAGAATTTTCAACTGACCAGCATTTTTGCTAGCTCAGGAAATTACATACTGAAGTTACAAGTATGCTGGAATAGATAAAAGAATGGGTTACTGGAGCTGGTGTTGTGGGGCAGTGGGTTAAGCTTCTGGCTGCAGCACTGGCATCCCATGTAGGTGCCAGTTTGTGTCCTGGCTGCTCCACTTCTGATCCAGCTTCCTGCTAATGCCCCTGGGAAAGCAGTAGAAGATGGCCCAATTCCTTGGGCCCCTGCACCCACATGAGAGACCAGGTTGAATCTCCTGGCTCCTGTCTTTGGCCTGGCCCTGTCCTGGCCCTTGTAGCCCTTGGGGGAGTGAACCAGAGGATGGAAGATCGATTGATCTCTCTCTCTCTCTGCCTCTGCCTCTCTCTGTAACTCTGCTTTCCAAACAAATAAATAAATCTTTTAAAAAAAGTTAGAAAAAACGGGTTACTGTGGGGGAAATTATTAAATATCCTTTAGAATTTTTTTTTTTTTTTTTGACAGGCAGAGTGGACAGTGAGAGAGAGAGACAGAGAGAAAGGTCTTCCTTTGCCGTTGGTTCACCCTCCAATGGCCGCCGCGGCTGGCGCGCTGCGGCCGGTGCACCGCGCTGATCCGATGGCAGGAGCCAGGAGCCAGGTGCTTTTCCTGGTCTCCCATGGGGTGCAGGGCCCAAGCACCTGGGCCATCCTCCACTGCCTTCCCTGGCCACAGCAGAGAGCTGGCCTGGAAGAGGGGCAACTGGGACAGAATCCGGCGCACCGACCGGGACTAGAACCCGGTGTGCCGGCGCCGCTAGGCAGAGGATTAGCCTAGTGAGCCGCGGCGCCTATCCTTTAGAATTTTTAAGAATTAGATAATTTATGGTCTTATTCACGGTCAAGGAAAATTATCAGATGATTTCCTAAGATATTTTCTAGCTATGTGTCCAAAACAACACTTTTTTTTTTTGTTTTAAAGGTTTATTTATTTATTTGAAAGTCGGAGTTACACAGAGAGATAAGGAGAGGCAGAGAGAGAGAGAGGTCTTCTATATGCCGGTTCACTCCCCAGTTGGCCACAATGGCCAGAGCTGCATCGATCCGAAGCTAGCAGCCAGGAGCTTCTTCCAGGTCTCCTACGCAGGTGCAAGGGCCCAAGGACTTGGGCCATCTTCTACTGCTTTCCCAGGGCATAGCAGAGAGCCTGATGGGAAGTGGAGCAGCCAGGACTCGAACCAGTGCCCATAGGGGATGCTGGCACTGCAGGTGGCAGCTTTACCCACTACGCCACAGCGCTGGCCCCCAAAACAATACTTTTTATTACCAAATATTTCTGAATGAGGACAGGAGACTGAAATGATTTCATTTAAGATTGTGCATCAGACCCAGCTTGTGGGGCTCAAGTTTCCAGATCAGCTCGGCCAGGCTGACGCCAGCAGCCTGTGCAGCTTGGTGGGGGTGATGCCATTCTAGCTCTTCTGAAGCCGTTGTTTTGGCTACCACCTTCCACCAGCATAGAAATGGGAGCCCCTACGTGGGAGGCCCACTGTCAAGGAGAGGCCATGGACTCTGCCCACCTGCCTCGGTGTACCCATAGAGGCTCTGGCTTCTCCAGCAACCTTACAAGGGCTGGTGACATAATCCAGAAGGGCAGGAGGCCATTTGAACAGTCCAGCATTGTGAAGCAGCTGAGGCCTCCCCAGGAACACCTGCATTTATTGGCTCCGCCCCTCTCCCTTGGGAGAACTTCCCTAGGATGGCACACACCTCCCCTTCTCCTCCTGCTTCACGCCCTGTTGCCAGAGAATCTGTGTTAAGACAAATGGTAGCCGTTTTAAAATTAGCAGTAAGATTGGTGGTATTGATAATTGCAGGCTAAGCTTTCCACCCACCATGTTTCTAGCAAATCCTTTTTCACTTTCTCAAGCGGTATGATTCCAAACTATTATGTTTAGCTGAAAATTTGCATGTTTTTCTCATCTTCACAGTCTGTCTATTGTATCTAGTCAACTTTTTAGGAATTATGACCTAATTAATAACCTCTCTAGAATATGGAGATTATGACAATCATTTAATAGATTATAACATGAGGAGTAATATGAAATCTGTGTCAGCAACATTCAAAATAACCCATATATATCCACACAATGCAGTAATATGCAGCTTATCAAAAGAATGAATTCTATATATAATGATATGGAGTGATCACCAAAATACATCATGCAGAATGGTGTTTATAGCATGCCTCTTGTAGCAAAGAAATGACAGAAAATGAAGGGTAGTCAGTAGCCTTACCAATAGTAGCAATATTATTGTTATTATTTTGAATATATTATAGGACAGAAGATATTTCTTTTTATCATTTATCGCTAGCTTTATGGATGAGAGCCCCTTGAAAGACAGATTAACAAGAGAAAAATCTACAAATGTGTTTAATGCAAGTTCACTTGGCACAGGAGCCTTCAGCAATGAAGGCCCAAAGAAGCAGAGGAATCTGTGTATTTTTTGTGAGAAGCTTAAGAAAGAAGTGAGAGTTGTAAAAGAGAGGACAAAGGGTCCAATCTAAAGTCGTGAATGGGAAACTTCGCCGGGACTGCTTGCTCAGATACCCTCAGCCCCTCTGTGTCTTGAAGGGTAAGGCTGCTCCTTTCCTCTGGGTGTCAAGAAGTTATCGCTAGAATTAAGTCCCATAAATTGCTTTAGAAGACAGTCTGCCTAGGTTTTACGGTCTGCTTCGGGGGAGAAAGGATAAAAAGATGAGAATGACTTTTCTGATTCTGTTGTTTTCTCAAATGCCAAGCTGCCATATTTTGGGGTAGCACACATCCTGAACCCCATCACAATTATAGATGTATCTTAGACTGAAAAAAATCATCCTTATACCATTAGATATCTAACTTTTCAATATAAGTGCTGATAGACATAATATTAATGCAAAGAAATTAAGTAGAAGTTATGTGATCTTAAATTTGATTTGGAAATATCAACTTACAATGTTTTTTCCTTAAAAATAAAAAAGTTCTGTCAAGGAAAAAAAGACATAAAAACAATAACAACTCAATGGCAATGAGTAACCCTAACGCTCCATTTTTGGTCTCTCACTACAATTTTCCACTAAAAAGTAGCAAACATCCATGGGGAAGTGATGCATTCCAGGTCTGGAGGATGAACTCTACAGGATGAGCCTTGGTTATCTTTCTTGCCCAAAAGCAGGGAAATAATCAAGAAAGATGTCCCAAACTCATCCTAAGCCAATGAGAGTCAGGTCATCAGAACGTGGCGCCGACCTCAAAGGGATTCTCATTGGCTAAAGATGGGACAATCTGAGGGTCAAAAAGTAATGGCTCCAATGGATTGAAACACATAAAACTGTAAAATCCGTAACTTTATAATGATTCTAAACAAAAACGGTCACTTGGAGGTTTCTAATGTGCACATTTATAATATGAATATTGATAGAAGAGAAAAAAGCAAGAGTTTTTTGGTCATTTCTTTACAAATTGTTGCTGTGGGGTCATTAAATAGTTAATTAGGGGAAAGATCTTCCTCATCGGAGGAATTCCAGCTGATCAATGGAGGAGCAAAGATAGAAGCAGAAAGCTCCGATCGTGCGATCCCTAATGCAATGGAGGATCTCAGCAAACAGTCCTCAGTGGCTGCTAAAGTCGTCAGGTGAAAGATTGATGAGGAGACTTGCAATGGAGGGGTCAGGCAGACACCATCTGAGCCCACTGCCCAGTCTTAGCTTTACTGTGTTTGCGCTATCCAGACATGATGTGCCTTCTGATCTGGTGTACCAGGAAATACATGGGGACGGCTCTGATGCAGTTTTGACTAAAAAATAAATACATAAATAAACCTAAATTGAATCCATTTTCCAGATCTAAAACCAAATTATAAGAATACAGTGGACAAAGAAGTTAACAGCACAAGGAATCAAACAGCCAAATCCGGAGGACAAATGGCTCTGACAAGTTTCCCTAACACATCAGTGCTATTAAAACAGAAGAAAGCTAAATGGACTTAAGGTCCAGCAAACAAATGCAATATATAAATGTTGCTTGAATCCTGCCTTTAACAAATCCTGTAAAATGACATTCTGAGATACATATAGAAATGTTTGATATGGTATTAGATGATTTTAAGAATTTATTTTAAATTTTGGATCCTGTGGCTAGAGATGGCTACTGAAATATTTACAGGTAGAAATATTTACAGGTAGTTAAAATACTCCAGAAAAACAATGGTAGAAATAGAAAACACAAAATCGGTAAAAATGTTGATAATTGTTGATACTGGGTGGGCTACATGAACGTTCATTTCTGTGTGTTTAAGGATTGTGTCCCAGCTGGCATTGTTGCATAACTGGTAAAGCCAATGCCTGCAACGCTGGCATCCCATGTGGGCTCTGCATCAGGAACTGGCTACTCTACTTCTGATCCAGCTCCCTGCTAATGGCCTGGGAAAGCAGTGGAAGATGGCCCAAGAGCTTGGGCCCCTGCACCCATATGGGAGACCCTGAAGACGCTTCTGGCTCCTGGCTTTGGCCTGGCTCAGTCCTGGCCATTGTGGCCATCTGGGGAGTGAACCAGAGGATGGAAGATCTCTGTCTCTGTCTCTCCCTCTCTCTTTGCCACTCTGACTTCATCTAAATAAATCTTTTTTAAAAAAGAGAGAGAATTTTCTAGAGAAATAGAAAACAAAAGCAAAAACAATTTCTGAATGAACAAGTGGAAAAAATATTTTAAAAAACATTCACACAAAATGCATACATTTGATTACTTATTTCTTTATATTCTTGCTTGCTACTAACAAGGGTGGGGGAAGCTTTCATTAAAAGTTTAGCAATCGGCCGGTGCCGCGGCTCACTAGGCTAATCCTCTGCCTGTGGCGCCAGCACCACGGGTTCTAGTCCCGGTTAGGGCGCCGGATTCTGTCCCGGTAGCTCCTCTTCCAGTCCAGCTCTCTGCTGTGTCCCGGGAGGGCAGTGGAGGATGGCCCAAGTGCTTGGGCCCTGCACCCCATGGGAGACCAGGAGGAAGCACCTGGCTCCTGGCTTCGGATCGGCGCAGCGCACCGGCCAAGCGGCCATTTGGGGAGTGAACCAACAGAAGGAAGACCTTTCTCTCTGTCTCTCTCTCTCTAACTCTCTCTGTCAAAAAAAAAAAAAAAAGTTTAGCAATCATCATCATCACTGTCATGTGTGCCAGCCCCATGCTGGCTTAGAGACTGAACCTCACGCTAACATGACAGTGTGGTAGGGACTGTTATTATCCTATTGTGCCTATAAAACCATTATAGGCATAGGTGGTTTTTTTTTTTTTTAATCTCACTATACATTCACATACATACATGGTCTTTCCTGACATCATATTATCATTGCATATTAGTGTGCTATTTTGTTCACTTGTACTGAATTTTCACAGAGAAGTTGATATTATAAATTCCAGGTAAGGTTCAAAGCTGGTGACTTCTGTAAAAAGGAATGTGGAACAAGTTGGCCATATTTCCAGACTCCCAAATTCTTGCTGATTTAGGAAGATGATTTCTGGAGCTCTGGGAATTTCTGCACAGAAATGCCAAACGTCCTACTTACCATGCTTAGTTTTCTAAGCTGTGAGTCCGCGCTTCTGGCCCTGTCTCGGGATTTCTCCACATCTTGGCCTTCGCAGCTGCAAGAGTAGTTGACCTGTTGTGGATCAAAACTCTACTGCAAACGGAACGTTCAAGAATGCCAAGTGATTCCATATGTGCAGGTTCACATTCTAAATCTACTAGAAAGCAATGACAGGTTAAAAAAGACATGTCATAGGCAAGGAAGGAAATCTAATTGCAAGGTGTTCTTGTGACAGAATGGCTTAGCTTGTGAAACAGTGCAATTAAACTGAACACTATACCCTTAAAAAGACCTGTTAGCTAAATCTGGAAATTCATGCAGATGCAGAGAAAGTGGAAGACTTCCTATTTCACACTAAGCAAAACAAAGGAAATTATGCTCTTTCAGACTAGATATTTTCTTTGTTATTCATTGTGTGTGTGGGATTGCTGGTTTAATTTATTGAGTCTGAAGGGACTGAGGGGAAGTTTCAGAAAAGACTTGCCTTTATGATTTGGTCCCCAGAGCTTTCGCCCAGAGCTGCACCGATCCAAAACCAGAAGCCAGGAGCTTCCTCCGGGTCTCCTACACAGGTGCAGGGGCCCAGTGATTTGGGCCATCGTCTGTTTTATCAGGCCATAGCAGAGAGCTGGATCAGAAGTGGGGCAGCCAGGACTCGAACCAGCACCCATATGGGATGCTGGCATTGCTGGCAGCGGCTTTAACCCACCATGCCACAGTGCTGGCCCCTATTTTCGTTAATGCAATTTAAGAATGGGATGATATTCAGTCATACCAAGGAGTCTTCAAGTGTGTGTTTGGTCATTCCTTCATTAGGCATTTCACCAAACATTTTTTTAAAGCAGTTCTAAACTTCATACACATTATCTCATTTAATTTTTTTTTTAGAATGTCATTTTAAGAATTAGAATTTAAATCCACTGGTATTGACAAATCCTATGCTCTTAACTATGTTTGCACACAACGAACTCAGTCAGGAGCTGAGAGCAAGCACCGGGGCCCCTAACACAGTCCAGTGCACTGTTGCCTTGTGTGTGCAGATGATTGCTTCCTGGTACTTAGAATGATAGTTCCAACGCCCGTGGAAGAACTTCCTCCATATGCAGCATTCAAAAAAATCGAGGCCAAGTTGAGCTTCCTCCACCTGCTGTCTTCAGTTCCAGGCCTGTCTATGCAGCAGTCCCTCAGTCAATGAATAATCAAAGCAATTTGTCCCCTATAGCCTGTTGACTACAGAACAAGACACCGCAGTATAACTTGTCATCGTCAATTTCTGTGAAATGCATTAAAATGCTCCCATTACCTACTCTGACATCTCCTTAAAGTTCACTGCTGTGTCAGAGTGAAGCGGTCAAGGCTGGAAATCCATCCTCGCTTGCTGACGCTCAGCACACGTCACAGTACTGCAAGCAGTGGAGTTTGACAGCTGTTTAAAACCATGTCACGCAAGTTATCAGTGCTTTAAAGTATGCGTGCCCTTGCGTGCCCTGTGAGGGCCCGCCCACAAACACACGCAGGTTACAAACACCTGGCTTGTAAATTTCTGATACCTGCAAATTGTGTGGGAGACCCTCTGAGCTCCCTGTCCTCAGCTCAAACCCAGAGTGCCTGGGCCCCTTCTGGCTGCCCTCATGCCTGAGAGTACAGCCTCGTACCGACAGCACCACTCGGTGGCCAGGATGGAGAACTGGCCGAATCCACTTTGCCTCACTCCCAGCTTAACTCCTCCACAAGTTGCCCTTCCCAAACTCCAAGCCCGATTCCCACCACCCCTATCTTCCTTGGACTTCAGTACTCACAGACAAGTCGACTGCATCTCGGATCATCTTTTTTGTGTGTATAAGCGGCCTTTTGTTTACTTTTAAATTTTTATTTATTTATTTGAAAGGGGTAGGGGGATAGCTTCTGTCTGCCGGTGTACTCTCCAAATGCCCACAACAGACAGGGTGAGGCCAGTCTGAAGCCAGGAGCCGGAACCCTATCTGGGTCTTCCATGTGGGTGACAGGGACTCGGGTACTTGTGCCATCCCCTGTTGCTTTTTTAGGGTGTGCGTCATCAGGAAGATGGAACTGGAAGCAGAACCAGGGCTTGAACCCTAAATGTAGAGGAATGGGCACATTGATTAGGCCCGCACCCAACCTCAGAAATACAGTCCCCTCCTTGCTCCTAGTCCCAGTGGTCAGTTGGCTCCTGTCCATAGCAGGGCCTTCTGTAATAGCCAGGAGTGCAGGTAGAGACCCAGAGTAACAAAAGAAAACTGACCAGAGACAGACAGACAGACTGAGATTTGAGACGGAAAGAATCTCTTAGCTTCAGAGGCTGCCTTGGGCAGCTTCCTCCCTCACTGTTTCCCACAGGAGCTCGGTTTGAGATGAGGCACAAGGAGGCACCAAAAACACCGAGTAATTACGAGGAATAAGAATAATAAATAAAGGGCCTGGCATTGTGGCCACCACTTGGGACGCAGCCATCCCATATCTGAGTGCTGGTTCTAGTCTCGGCTACTCTGCTTCCGATCCAGCGCCCTGCTAATGTGTCTGGGGAAGCAGCAGAGGGTGGCCCAAGTGGCTGGGCCCCTGCACCCACGTGGCAGACCCAGATGCAGGTCTGGCTCATGGCTTTGGCCAGGCCCAGCTCCAGGTGGCATAGCTATGGGGAGTGAACCAGCAGATGGAAGATTTCGGTCTTCCTCTCTTTGTCATCTTTCAAATAAAATAAATAAACCTTTAAAAATTACAAAATATTTCTGAAATTATATTTCTAAAAATCATGACTAAAAATTTAAATAAAAACTACACATAAAAATCTGTGATTGGGGCTGGCGTTTTGGCTTAGCAGGTAAAGCCGCCGCCTGCAGTGCCAGCATCCCATATGGGCACCGGTTTGAGTCCCGACTGCTCCACTTCCAATCCATCTCTCTGCTATGGCATGGGAAAGCAGTAGAAGATGGCCCAAGTCCTTGGGTCCCTGCACCCATGTGAGAGACCAGGTTGAAGCTCCTGGCTCCTGGCTTCGGATCAGTGCAGCTCCGGCCGTTGCAGCCAATGGGGAGTGAACCATCAGATGGAAGATCTCTCTCTGCCTCTCCTCTCTGTGTGTAACTCTGACTTTCAAATAAATAATCTTAAAAAAAAATCCATGATCTACAAAATGCAGTATTTTAAATAAATACAAGTGGTTTGTGTCATGTACAAAGGAAACAGCGAGTTCTAATCATCTTAGATTCCCAGGCTGGTGGCTTCCACCCTCCAACCCAGACCTTTCCCCCTACCCCCAGCTCCCAGCTTAGGGCAGGTTCATAAGGGTTGAGAGTAGTGTGAGAACAGACTGACAACCTGGGGCTTTATATATAGCTATTTTTCCAAACTGTAGGGCTTTTATTAACTTTTTCCACTTGACTCAAACTCAATATGGGAGAACTTTTGATCGGCGAACGAAAAAGGGCATAAGTTTCCTTTTGCATGCCTTCCTGTCTGTGTTCCACAACTCCACAGCTTCCAAGGCAGTCCTCACCCCTGTCCCTTAAACCTGCTTTTCTCTAAGCACCATTCATGAAAGGCAACTCACTGGTACCAAGGATTTTTCTTCTTGTCTTTTTAATTACAAAACATTGCGAAAATATTGCTTGCAGCTAGGGACATTACAAGTCAAATATCACTTGTAAGTTAGTTCAGGAACCAAACTGCTATTTACCTCACTGTGTCTAGGGGAGACATGTTCTAAGTTTCAGACAATTTATTTGCAAATAAGTATTTGAAATATGATTTTTATAGGTTTGGGAACCTAATGTTTAAGTGCTTATAAAATGTATGTTATACATTATAATGGAAAAAAGAGATTGTCTCCAATTACTGCTCTTGATTTTTTTAAAAGATTTACTTTTATTTATTTGAAAGGCAGAATTACAGAGAGAGGCAGAGACACACACACAAAGAGAGAGATCTTCCATCTGTTGGTACACTCCCCAAAAGGTCACAATGGCCAGAGCTGCGCCGATCTGAAGCCAGGAGCTGTCGCTCCCCGTCTTCGTGGAGGAACGACACAGGACCCTGCGCTGTTCTTTTGTCTGCTCAGCCCTCCCCGGGTTTGCTGCTGGTTCTTCCCGGGTTGGCTACCGTCCCTCCACCTCCGTGGAGGGGCGGGCCCCCTGCCACTTTCCCCACTTCCGCAGGGGAGCGACACACCGCCGGCCGGCTCTCTCGGGGGCTGCACAGGTGTTCCTTCAGATAGATGTTCCCTGGTGCATGTTGTCTCTCTCCTCCTTTATAGTCCTCTTCCACCAATCCCAACTCTGCTACCCACACGCCGAGTACGCTGCTCTCCTCCAATCAGGAGTAGGTCCTACAGTTTATTGGTTGAACTGGAGGCAGCTGTGTAGAAGCTGTTTCTCCCTTCTCAGCGCCATATTGTGGGAGAGCAGATGCATAGAATAAGTCTTAATTCCAGTAACTTAGTCTAGTCCGGGTTGCTCCCCACAGATCCCCCTTTCTTTTTATTTTTTGGCGTTGATACGCGCCTGTCTTCGGTGCCCCATGGCACACACTCTGCTCTGCTTGCTGGAGTTGCCCACAGGTGCTTACAAGCCCTACCAATCAGGCAAACCGAATCCGGGTCCTCTCTTCACCATGTTGTGAGGAGGTTTTTAGGCGCTGATGCGTGCCTGAGTTCGGTGCCCTGCAGCGCATGCTCTGCCCTGCTAGAACTGCCTGCAGGTACTTACAAGCCCTAGCAATCAGGCAAACCGAATCCAAGCCCTCTCATTGCCGTCTTGTGGGGAGACTTATTGATGTTAATTTGTGCCTGTCTTCGGTGACCTGCAGCGCATAAGCTGCTAGCCGCCCGCAGGTGCTCACCGCCTCCCTAATCAGGCAGACCGAATCCAAGCTCTCTCATTGCCATGCGTGTTGTGGGGAGGCCTTATTTTTCTCTATTTCTCTATCTCCGGGCATTCCTATTTCTCCTATTTTACTTCTATCTACCAGCATTCCTATTTCTCTCATTTTACTTCTAAACTTCTGTTTCTCTTATCCCTGCAGCATCCCAGCGCCCGCCCCGAGGCTGCTTC